CTTTGCCTGTCATTGCCACGTGGATTTTAAAATCTGGATTAGGTCCCTGAAGGCTAAACAAGAGTTTGAGTTGTCCATTTGCTACCTGCCCAGCCTTGCTACCTCTTCTGATAGAGCTAGCTTTGGGTGTTGCTTTTCCTGGCCAAGGAGCAAAGCGGCACCTGCTGAAGGTAGGATGAGCGCGCCATGAGCAGGTCCAGTTGTGTGCCAGGGGCAGAGCCCACGTTTTGGGACACAGACCTGGCTTCTCGGCCATGGGAGGGAGGAAGACCGTGACCAGGCTCTCTGAAGCTGATGGAAGAGTTAAATGGGAGTGGAGTAATTAGAACTAGGTTAGGGTGAATTATTCATAGCAAATAATTTATTCACCAAACTCGGCCTCGTTTCCCACAAGCGACGCTCCATTGTCCCAAATTTATTCGCGTTTGGGGATTATTCCCAGGGCAGTTCTTGTCCCAGAGGCTGTGTGGGAGCTGCTAATGGGGTGCTCTTAATAATTCAAATCCATCAGGGTGCCAGCTAGTTTTCCTGGTGTTTGTAGCTCAGTATGCTCCTCTTCCTGGCAACATTTGGACAAATAAAAATTACAGTGCAGATATTTCTATTCAGTGCTTACTTTCTGGGTCAGGCTGGGAGGCAGCAGGAGCCCTTTTATGCAGCTTTTGACACTGGGATGATTTTTCTCCCCGTTTCTCTAACAAGTTCTCTGCCTATTCGGACACTGTCCAAGAAGTTTCTAAGCGGAAGATCTGCAGAAACCAAACGCTGAAAGGGCATAAATTCCGTCGGTTGTGCTGGACACAAAGGTTTGGTTTCTCATTAGCGATGCCTTTGTTTATTTGCAATTAAGTCGCTACTAGAAGCTGAGGGCTGTCTGCACCCCTCCTGACCACACAAGTAACCGGGGCAAAAAGCTTTGCCTCCCTAACCCCGGCTGTAATCCGTTACTACCTCGTTATCTGCACAGAGTTAATTAGGAGACCTCCGAGACTTCTGCTGCTGGAGACTTTTCCTGCAGAAATATTAACAAGCCACCCTCGCCCTGGCTCCGGGGATGCCTCTGAAACCACCTAATTAAAACCGAGGGTTGGAGGAGGGTTCCCCGAGCGCAGCCGGGAAATCGGAGCGGGGACTCCATCTGCTGCCGGCTCCTCTGGCGCTCCGGGAGGAAACTGGAGGTGAAGGGAGGAAAAAAAGCAGCGTGGGGAGCAGGGAAACTCTGCTGGATATTTTGCTTTTTTTTTTTTCCTGCTCTCCCAGGTATCAATTCACCTGAGCACCCCTCGTTTGTGGCTGGCAATTCCCAGGGCACGCCAATTACAGGTGCAGGAAAATGCTGGCTCCCTTGCTGTCTGCATCAACGGGCTCCTCTTTTTTCCTTCAGGGATCTAGAAAGATGGAAAATTACCCAAATCAGATTTTGGGGTTTCAATCGGGTTTTTGATCACGTTCCAAAGCATGAGAAACTGGTAAGATGTGGCCTTGGAGTTCTACTTCAACCGGGAGAAACAGCAAAAATGGGCGGAGATGTTAAATTTACTTTAAACCATGTACAGGCTGCACTAATTCAGGGTTTTCTTTTTAACCGTGCTGTTGCCTATGCTTTGTGAAGAATATCAAAGTTTTCTGTCCTGGTTAGGGCTGAAAATCTTAAGCTCTTGATTAAGTTTCCAAAGAGCAATTTTGGGCCAATCAGAATATTTAACTTTGAGAAGTGTCACCAATTTCACTTGGATTCCAGTTTCTTTTAAAGGGATCCTAGAGAATTAAAATCTAGAGGAGACTAGAAAGGGGCTTTGACAGGATTTAGATTTCTTGCTCTGTGTATGTTGGAAGGAAATGTTTTTACTCTGAGGTTGTTTTAGGATATTGGGGCGGGGAAATGAAGATTTCCTTTTGTTTGCTGTTTCAGCCTTTCAGTTGCATTTCAGGCAGCAGGAAAATGCACCAGACGATGCGGGAGGAAGGTCGGGGGAAAGGAGTCGACTCCTTTCTCCCAACTCCTTTGTGTGCAGCAAGAGCTCTCCAAAAACCACGGCGTATTCATCTGAGCGATATATTTTGCCCAGGAAAGCAATTTTCACCGATGTCAGGATAGATCTGGTGTGGCTTTTCCTTTGGAAAATCTCCCTCTAAATCCTTTGCCCCTGGTCAAAATTTAGGAGGGAAGACCTTCATACAGCGTTGCTGAGTGTAGCTGTGATGTGGAGTGTGTTTCGCACCCATTCCCGGTGGGAACTTGTTCTAGAAAGTTAATTGAGGATACCTGGGATGCCTCAGTCCCCAAAACGGTGTTTGGCGCTAAATTTTGTGAGGCTAGAGCTCTCCTGGAAGGAATTATTTCTCATCTGCTTGTTCTTCCCTTCCATACATCTTCTTTCTCTCTCCATCCCTTACCTCTCGCTCCCCCTGCACGGGGGTTCACTGGGACTCTGGAAGTGGTAACTGTGGGCTCACGTGGATGTAATAATTTGGTTGTAACTTTTTGTGTGCTGAGGGCAGACGTCTGAATTAAAATCCTGTTTGATTTGACACAAGCGAACAAAAAAAACTTGTTGTGGCTTTGCCAGCATTTGATACTGTTATTGGATTATAAAGAGGAGGAGAGCCTTGGCTTTGATTTCCCTATCTCTGAGGCTTGCCAGACGTGGAAGATAACCTCTGGGCATGCTTTAAGAAAGCTCTTTGAGATTACAATGGTTTGTCTCAGACTTCAGGAGACAGGGTAGGTTGTTATACCAGTCTCTTATCCCTGCAGCATGCAACAAGATCCGAAGACGTGTAGTAAGATAAATAAGGAGGTCTCGGCTCCTCTGAATGTCAGCTCACTTCAGAAGCAGGCAATTTGCACTGGACCAGTGCCCTGTGTCCTCCGTCAGCACTGGCACATGTCCCCTGCCCGAGGGGATGTTTTCTTCTTGGCTGGCAGCAGGTACCAGGGCTGGAGTCTGTCCTCTCTCAGAGCACCAAAACACCTAAGGCAGCTCAGTCCATACCTCTGGGAAACTCTGCAACGGAGATTTCCCCAAGCAGGGAGGCGGACCCAGTGATGGAAAAGGGAGACCAAGCCTTCATTCACCAGTCTTGGCTTGGCAGAGCCCTGCTCTGCCTCTCGCCCTTCGCTGCAGGTGGGTCCCTGCTCTCGGCTACGCCGGGTTTCCCATCCCCAGCAAAAACCTGCCCGTTGAGCAGTGATGCTTCTACCGTGCTACACCCCCAGGCCAGCGAGGAGGGTGAGCGGGGCTGCGTGGGGCACCCCGGAGCTGCTGCAAGAGGGAGGATTACACCGACTGAGCTGCACCTCTTCAGTTTCTTCAGCTGTTGTTAAACAAGGAGCAGGTTTCTGTGCAGCGATAGGGATCAAAATAACAGCCTAAGTAGCTTTCAGACATGGATGAAATTCCCTCCAAGGGGCCCAGGCCAAGCCAACCCTTGGTTTTAGGGGCTGCTGCGAGGCTCTGCACAGAGAAATGAACACCTAGTGACTCCCTCGGGTCACACTTACCCTCGGAGAGCGGAAACGCGGAGCCTTGTCTGATAGGGCTTCAGCCAAGGAAATTTCTAAGCACCTTATGAAATCCAAGAAGCTGAGAAATCATGAAGTTGCTGAAGGAGAAGAAATCCATCCTTTAAATGCGTTGCTAAGGTTATCAGCAAGGCTTGGGAAGGGCTTCTCCACCCCTGCATTTACATGCTCTGATACAAGAGGCGTTCAGAGAGCCGCAGGCTTCCAAAGCAATCTCAGGTACTTCATTGCTTGTAAGAGTAATGACTTTGCTGTATCAGAGGTGGTGAGGAGAAGGGAGTTGTTACCAGGCCTGAAGATCTTGGAAGATACTGATCCTGCAGGATTATTCCATGTTTGGACTGAAAGAACATAACTGGGGTGAAATTATAGTCCTGCTCATATTAATCCAGCCTCTTCCCTTGACAAGTGGAGCTGTGTAGCTCATTGTCTGGAGTCCCTGGAGGTGTTTAAGGTCCCTGGAGGGGTTTAAGGAGAGGCTGGATGTGGCACTTACTGCCTTGGGCTGGCCAATGTGATGGTGTTGGGTCATAGGCTGGACTTGATGATCTCAGAGGTCTTTTCCAGCCTCAACAATTCTGTGATTCTGTGAAACAAAGACCTTCAGAGTCCCTGGGATGCCCACAGGGAAAGGAGGTAAGAAACAGAACCCAAGTGTGGCCAATAAAAAAGGATATTGCCAGTCCCCAACTTCGCCAGAGCACTTGGGCCGTCCCGCAGGGCTCGCCAGCCCTTGTTCTCTGGCCTCACTCAGGCTCTGCACAAACCCCACCAGCGCGGGACTGCTCCAGGGACTGCACACCCCCTGTGCAAAGCACTCGTGTGTCTCCTGCTGTCATTGCCACCCGGCATCCCGCTCACTTACAAGGCCACCTGCACAACTGGAAGAGGTGCAGTCACTTTAGGAGCCACATCCTCAGATGGTGGATGCAAATCCACCATCATCTTCCTCGTTCAGCAGTGCCAGGTCCCGTTGGGTGCTGTTGCTCCT